TGAAGTTAGGTCCCCACCGCCCCCGCCCTCCAAACTTGGTTCCCCAGAGAGCCGATACCGCCTGGCCCCCTATCTGCGATGCGGCAGCCAGTCCAACAGAGGAGGATGAGGCCGATTATATTATGGACAAGCGCGGCCCAGGAACTGATGCCCAGGATCTCATCAAGTGGCGCGGTACTCCCGAAGATCAAGCCACGTGGGAGCCCGCTCACCACCTAACAGGGTGCCCGGCATTTCTTTGCGCTTGGCATCGCCGCCAGTGGAGACGTCTTCAGGCTCGAAACCATCTTGCTCCTTCCGAAGCGTAGCGATTTGGCTCCGTCAGCTTCCACCGCCCGCAGTGCGGGCAGCCTTACCTGAGGAGTGAAAAGGTAGCGGTGCGCACCGCATGCGCTCTTGGTATTAGCGTCAGAAGGGTGACATTAGCTTCATAAGGGAGCAGAGACTGAAAAATTAGAAACCATGTGCTTGGCGTAGGCCGGTTCAGTCCGGCAAGGAAGGAAGTTGTAGTGCGCAGTCACTACAATAGGGCTTGCTGGTGACCTTCAGAGGATAACTAGCTGGTGACCTACAAGAGGTTAAGAGGTGAAGACGCTTATCGAGCCCGGAAACGTCCATGTAGTAAAACAGAAGAGCACTTTATCAGCAAAATGGCGTGCATAAACTAGAAATGTCTACGAATACTCTAATACTGGGGCTGGCGACATGCTGGCACCGGTGCGGATCACCTTCCTACCGGGCAAAAAAGCAAGAACCATGAAGAGCGGCTTTTATGAAATTTGGTTTTGAGAACTCAGAACAGAACCGCCTTTTCAATAATTTGGTGTTTGTTTCCTGAGAGATGCGTCGATAGTAGAGAGTATTTCATAGAGTGCCCAAGTCGTGGGCCAGGTAGCATCGTAATCGCTGCAGAGATTGCGGTTTACTAGAGAACCAGCGCCATTATAGTATACAGCGCCTTCAGCTGTGACTACGCTCCTACCTGGCCCAAGAATAGGGCACCGTATGAAAAATCTTCTACCTTCGACGCATCTTTTATGGAGCAGATACCAAAATAACAATAATAGCAGTCATCTTCTCAAATTCTGACATCGATTTCCCTTAAAAGTTCCTCCCCTCACTCTGGTTTCTTTCTTACTTGGCGGCCCTGTGGGGCGGTGGCTCGCACCGGTACCGGTGTTTCTGCCAGCCCTAGTCTTAGGGTATTCACAGACATATCTACTTTACGTATGCTATTTTGCTGAAAAATTGCCTTACCTCGTTAATAGTTCCTCCCCTCGCTCAGTGTGTTCACCTCATAGGTCACCAGCTGGCTATCTTCCTAAGGGCAAGTCCTATTGTAGTGCCTGCGCACTAGAGCCATCGTCTGCGTTGCACAAGTGTCCTTATACACTGAACATTTTGTGGTGCGTGGAATGCTATGCACCGGTCACCAGCGCGTTGCGCGGGCACACAAAAGTCGCGCAATTACTTTGGTAGGCGAGCTGACCGCAGTTTGGCTCTCACATAACATTCTATAACTGATTACGAAAATAAATACCTGCCTCTACTCACTAAATGAAAAGAAACATAAATTAAAAACAACAAGGCCTCATCCTTAGTAAGGAAAGATTGCTGTTCTGTTCTCTGGCTGTCAGCATGCGCGTTGGCACCACCACTCCAATACTGCATTCCACAAAGCCTGGGATAAGCTGCAGTGGAGAATATCTCCAACCTGCTATGAAAGTAGGCTTGTTTGTGTAGTCTTCGTAGTCTTGCATTAATCCTTCTTGTATTAGACCAAGTAACCTTTACACGCCGTTAAACTGCCAACCAAAAAAGCCGCGGATAAGCTGCAGTGAAACCTAGAACGAAACTCCTGTTGTACTGGATTTCTCCGTTTGGTTTTTGTAATCACACATTAATCGTCCTAGAGGTTGTTTACTGCCAGCATATAATCTCTAGAGGTCGTTTTCTGCCAGCCACAGAAACCTGGGGCTAGCTGCAATGAATCCAAGAAGCAACCTACTACGAAGCTAATTTTAATTGATTAGTTTTCTTAGTCAAACATTAATTGTTATGGTATTGAACTATATACCATCTGAGGGCTTTTTGGGCGGAACACATTGTTACGATGCACATTGCATTTGGCTCCTTAGCCCACATCCCGTTAGTTGAGGTGATTCGACTCAGACATCTGCGAAAAAAGTTGAACATTGCCCATTAGCACTCAACACTTCCCATCATCGTCTTAGTTTAGTACTTTGGAAGTGCTCTCTTTAGACGAAAGCTTTCTACCAGGGAGTTCCAGGCAGTATTCTACTATGGCAGGGCATGTCAAAATTATAGCCCTCGTTTCAAGAAGACAGCTGAAACCAATGAGCTGGTATGGCTAATTAAAGACGACCGAAGACTGAAATTCGAGTTTGTTAATGCTCATGTAACCGACTCACGCTGCTTTGCGCAAGTGTAGGGACGCTGCGGCCTTCGCCGAGTCAGCAGCATTCCTGCACGCGTTTCAGTGCTGAGGGTTCACGAATCAAGCATGCGCATACCCATCTATAATATTTATTCAGAGGTAAGAAAATAATTAATACAGAAATATATGCAGCAATCGGCAAATCTTGGCAAACAGCTGAGCAAGTTGCGCGCATGCAGACCTACTGCTATCTCAACTCGACAGTATCGACTAATATTGTCAAGGTGTCCACGCTTCTCATTGTGCGTTACAACTCTAGATTACTAAAAGTTCAGCTTAAAGCAACGTTGACTGTTTTTTGTTTTGTTTTAGTACCTCGGGAATGCGCAGCTGCTAGCATGTCAGCCCTTCTTAGCTCTTGGTGGTCCGCAGCACACCACAGCAGGAAAACGAGCCCCACGCTCATTGAAGTATAGCTTACAGAATGCACTGAAACGCATGATCAGAAGACAACTAATTTCCTACACTGTCGAGTTTCGTGCTTCGTTTTCCAAGATGCGCTTCTGGCTCCTAATATCCTTCACCTGCTTCCTCGCTGGTGTTAGAGAACATGGGTTCTTCCAGCCATGGGTGGCAGCCACTCTTACGGTTGAGGCCCAACTCTCTCATAGCGAATTATTTGTGCAAAACCGGAAAATTTTGACTGTCTTTAACAAGCTTCGCCAATCTGCTCTTTCTTTTTTCCTCAATCTTGCCATCATCTTCATAGGAGTGGCACTCGCTTATGTGGTTATGCAGTGCCACAGATACCTAAAAGCTCACTGGACGAACAAAAATAGCAGCTCCCTTGGGCGTCGAATGTCTGGCAAAGAAGAAAATAGTAGCTTTGTAAGATAGTAATTTTCAAGGACCAAGGGCGGGGCTCTTGACTACATTTGCCGCGTCCCCTTCACGGTTCGACGCATCAAGCGTTAAATGCGCTACAGTGTAGCATCCGTTCCCTGATCTTTGCTTTTTGCCCTAATAAAGGCTGCTGTCACTTCTTAGAAAGCGTTGTGCCGAAAAGGAACCGTTCAATCACGTGGAAAACAAATGCATACACACAGTAGAAGAATATCGCCGTTAATTACGTTGCCGTTGCATTGGAAGTTCTTACTCACCCCAACAGCTCTGAGGCTTATTTTCAAATATTCGTCTGTAGCTAACATGGCAAACGCCATGGAACGTGCTAGGTAATCGCGTAAAGGAGAGGACCCAATAGCGCCTGGTGGTGTATGTTTTTTTACGTGAGCTGTTGGCACCTGTGACCGTCACATAGGAGAGGAAAAGAACGTTCTGTTCAATGGCGAATCTGCTGACAAAAAGAGAGATTTTGGTTGAGTGTAAATGTGTTGCAGTCTTCGAAGATTTCATGTAATTCTTTAAACCATCAGCAAAAACAGCAGTCACAGGTCCCGAGGGTTGTAACAGAGAGCACAAACAAACGACACTGCTCGGGACATGCAAGACACTTTGCCGACAGGCTACACAAGGCCATTGGAGAGCTACAATGCGCATCATTCCTGCGAGCACTTTTCCATGCGAGCAGCCTTTTATCTTGTGCTGGTCTTTCTTCGCCCAGCTACCCTTGCATAAATAGTGTGTTTACGTGCTTGTGCACTTGTATGAGCAGGCAGCAACAAAAAAGGAATAGTGTAAATGTTGGTTTCGCGAATCATAATGACCATTCATCAAGATACCCAGCAGAGTTCCGTTGGCAGACCTGCTCACTAAACCCACAAATGTCTTTTTGCGTTATGATCAATATTTTCAGACGTAAAATGAAAGATGAGAAAATATGGCGAATTATTCAGTAATCAGACTACGGACACTTGCTTTGAGCAAAGCTGGTTAATTACGCTGCTCCATTGCAGAAGCGCCGGGACGCCTCCTAGTTGTTGCAGCAATCCGGCGTTAAACAGTGAAGATATACGAAGTTATTTCTTAAGTAAGCACGTTGTATATGAATTTATATGCTCTTTGGAAGCACGTATGTGGGGCGGGCGGCACGCCTCCCGATTCGGAAGAGCCTGAAGAATCCCAGGAGTCTCAAGCTTTAGAAGAGAGTCAACCAGGTCAAACATCACGAGGGAGAGGCAAGAATAAAGTAAGGTCCTTTCAGGAACACAACAAATCAGTAGTATTTCTGACGTTGCCAGACTGTGGCATGCCAAGTATACACCGACGACATCGCGGCATATGCCTCTGTGAGCGTGCATGATGTTGCATGGTGTTGCGGCAACGTGAGTCGCTGCAGGGTGGCACCAGGCAACACCGTAACAAAGGGTGCCATGCATTGGCAACAGAACTAAAAATCGATTTGTGTAGTCATGTGCAGTGAGGGTCTCCTCTACACGCGCTAGTGGTACAGGTGCAATGCTTCTAGATCTCTTTAGGTAAAGTGCACGTAGCACTGCATATCCAGGACAAACATTGCGTGTACGCTGGCTGCAATATCCACGTTCCACTGAAGTCTTCGTTTGTCCTCGCGTCTCAACCTACTTTGTGACATTCATTTTAAATGTGAAATCAAAATCTGCCGAATTTTCGGTGCGTCGCTGGAGGCGACCAGTTTTTCAGCTTTGAAAAGTCAATCAGTCGTTGCCGTTTTCGTCCAATTAGATGAAAGGAAGCAAAGTGAAGGTGTATTCTGCCCAACTTCGTAAAATAAACCAGCTCCAGTATGGATCATCGAGCAATGGAGTCTTTCGGTCCATCACTGCTGAATGAATCAAACAAAGCATTAGTGCCTTGATGCTACTTGGTAAAATGAATCAGCGTCTGCTTAAATTTGAATATCCTGCAAAAGATATTACTAGAAAGCTGCTGCCTGGAAACGATCACTTC